ATATTACTATTGCAAAAATCGTAATCATGTTTCTCGTAGCTCGGCACGCTGAATGCTATACATTGTAAACATATTTTACAACTGCTTTATCGCACGCTCTAAAGTCTAGACGGCTGTAAATGAATACCTCAGGTTCATTTTCCTTCAGTAAATACGGTTGTAAAGTACATCATAAGTCATGTATTATATACGTGCAAATCATTGACAGTGCGATTTCAAATATTGTGAAATATAATTTATACTAAAATATATATATTTAGAATTTAAAATCAATATTTCTTGTAATTTTTATTTAAATTTTATTTATTTGCAAATGTCCAAATGAAATTAGTTCTTTATTATTATATTCATAATTTGATTAAATTGAAAGTTTTTAATATTTCTCAAAGAAGCTTAAAGGCGTGCAATTGTGTTGTAATAAACAATAATTTAATTTTTGATATTAAAAACTTAATAAAATTTGATGTACAAGACATATAAAGAAACTTTCTATTTAACAATTATTAGGAAACATTTTAAAATTTTATGGACGTGTGTATTATATGAATTCAATCATAAATACTTATCTCTCAAAATGGAGACAATATACATTTTAAACCAATTCAAATATTGCGGCAAGCCGAACTAGCTCGCGGTTTACTATTATTTGATCAAACAGTTCTACAGCACTAGCTTAATACTGTCAATCGACAATTTCAATTCGTGCGTTCTGAGTCTCGAATATCGTGTTTCATTAACTGTGTATTAACCGTTCGGTATGTTACGCAAAAAAATATTTTTCACGTCGTGCAAGCGTATTACGATGAACATGCAAGAAAATTCTTTCTACAGACGGATATCGGAGTCACATGCAATTGCAACCAAGAATGTCCGATCGATACTAGTACAATCCCGGTTAGTGAACTCATTTCTTAAACAATAATTTATCGCAGCGAGTATCGCAACTTGACATAAAAAAATCCATTTAATTAAAAATTCGTCTGTATTCAATACCGAACATTTACGATAAGAATAGCAACAAATTGAGTTTATAGATTTTAGATAACACAGCAATATCATGTCCATCCGATATCACCATTCCCATATTTTTACATATATGTGTGTGAGCTTTATCTCAAATACTCATATTATACTCATATTATCTTACAGACAAAATTATCACTCTCATTAATTTAAAACGCTTGCAATACGCGAACAGCTTATTAATTTTAAAAATATACTTATTAATTTAATTATTATTAATTTGAAAAAAAAAAAGTAATTTTTTTTCTTGAAGACAATTACAATTAAACCAATTTATAGATAATGTAAGATAATTTCAGGCATTATTCGCGAGAAAATTTTATTATTTAACATTTATTTATAATTATATGACAAAAATTAACATCATTTAATCGATGGATTTTCCTTTAGATTTCCAGGATTTCTAATAAAAATTTATTTTTTTCTGACGTATATATGTTTCCCAGAACAATAAATTCTTATTTTCTCAAGATGTACTTTCCATCAAACTTTAACAAAGAGTTACGATATAAGAAAATAAAAAGTTAATAATAATTAAAATTTATTATTATTAGCAATTAATCAATGCCGAAATTATCAATAATCCAAAATTTAGACAATATTGCTCTTACAAGAAAAAAAAAGAATTCACAAGTATGTCACATTACAAAATAATCTTTCCTAAACGTGCGTTTCTTAGTTCCGGTCAAACTACATACACAGTTGCCAATCAAAATTGTCAGTCCAAACTTAACAGGTAATTGTCATTAATGACTATTCGCTGGCCAAAATAATCGCCGCCGCCGGATGACGACGGTCGTAATCGCCGGTGTGTAATAATGCAGGGAGATTTAAGCGATGATCTACGATCGTTTCTACGATATTTAGACGCGGTGTTTTCCCGTTTTTGACGGTCACGAGATAACCGTGAATTCTTGCGTAAAACCATATTTGCGTGTCTGGTTTACCGATCGCGTTGCAGACGTTGTGGGTGACACAATATTCATGGAACACGGAAGGATGAGGGAACTCGTACATATCATTTGATTAACGAGCGGACTTAAAGTTAATGTAAAGTTAATGTAAAATTATGTACAGAATAACGTGGTGTAATATTTTGACATTTCATTAATTTATTTATAACACGATTTTATGTATATGTTATGCAGGCCTTTTATTCGTAATGTTAATGACTTTTGAGAATTCTTCCCAAAATTTCTTTTAACTAAAGAATTAAATATTCTTCTTTATTTTAAAAGGTAAAAAAACTCAATTTTTTATATTTTTATAATATTTGAAAGATATTTCTCTTCCAGGTTATCTATTAAAAAATTATTTCAAAAATTATACGAATTTAAAGCTCGTTTTTATCCATAAAATTCATTTATGAATTTCTTGGTAACCTTTAATTTTTAGATAATATATATTATAAAAACGGGCCTAAAACTGGGTTGTTCCATCTTCGGGTACTAAACTTCAAGGTATCAATCATAAAACTTTCTCTCTAGGATGGAAAGTGAAAATTGAAAATTTTAATCATTAAAGTTAATGGAGGAATTTTTTACTGTTCACTTTTCATTCTAGGAAAAGAATTTCTTTTACGCTCTTACTCTTTTATTCTTATGTATCCAGTAGATAATAGATAAATTACTGCATAGTTCACTCAAAGAGGGAACAATACCGGCCCTAAATAAACCAAAAATGAACTTCCTGCTAGCTGGTCAAATATGGTAAAATAAAATGGTTTTCTCGGTATATAAAAGAGTACAGCAGGTCATAACTGCATTCATATATGTATGTGCGCATACATATTATACTGTTTGTAATTTCAAAAAAATAAAAATTAGAAAGATATCCTTCAAGTAAAGATATTATTAACTTAAACTCCTTTAAATAGCAATCTTTTCAAATGCTTGTATTTTTAATAAAGAAAAATTATCTTTTCCAATATGATCATTTTTTCATATTAATCATTTTTTAATGGCAATAAATGTTTTATTAATATTCGACAGAAAACATATTTTACGGAAACAAAATTATTACAACGAAATATATATATATATATATATATATGTCAAAGAAAGAAACTGAAGGTTTTTGTGAAAACCGAAAAAAATTTGTAAATGTCAACCTTTTCTTAGAATCCGAAAGAAAAATATTTCTAATCTTTACATAGACCCGGTATTATTCACTAAACTTTTTGGTATGCGACCACATCCTGTTGTTATATTGCTTCTTAGAAAAGGCTTTCCTTTGAAGAAAAGAAAAGACTTAGGATCATCAATCAACGGTTAACAATATGTCGTTGTGTCAATAATTTGTATTTTATATATATAATCCCTTCTTTTTGAAACTGAGTCTTGCTTAGGCTTTAGTTTCCATTCGTTTTTCGTAGCAGCTACATCGCAGCTGAAAATTCACTCTCTTGAAACTTCAACCTAGCAAAGCGCGTCGTCGTGAAGCTCAGCCAAGAGAAAGATCAGTATTTTTATTTAATTCGCGTTCTTAAGGATATTACCTCGCGTCGCGTGTGCAACAGTTCGCAAATCTACTAGTGATTCACTTTTCGTGGAGCATCGACGACTGCCTCAAAGTAAGTAAATATCCTAAAATACTTGATTAACGATTCACGTGACGCAAATGCTTACGTCACACTTAAATAGTAATCATCAACGCCTTTCGTAGTCGCGGAGTAATAAAAGGTTTACGCGCTTGGCATTCGGTATCGGCAAAAGATAATTAAAGACACGCGATTCAAGTATGTCAAGCATGCAAGTCATCGACAATATGTTTATTCTCTCTTTTCGTTGAAGAAAATTTTCCTTTTATAAGTCGAAGGCTTACAACAAGGATCTTCCTATAAAATAATTTGAAAGGTTAAATACATGCAAAACGTGAAGTCCTCGTACATGTACATTCGTATCTTTTAAAAATGAGATTTGTCAATGGAAGGAATACTGATGAGTGATTTGCATATCTAAGAAGATTAATTGAATAGCGAATATCTAACTCTTGATACTAAATCTAATTGACTCTACATTACTCATCATCAATCAAAACAGAAAAATGTACATTTAAATGATTATAATTTATCGATAGTATTCTCAATATATACTTTATTAATTTTTCTGATAAGATTTTAGTTTATTAATAGTATACAGCAACCAGTTTTCTTCTATTTTTAATTTCCATTAAGAAATCGCATTTTATCCTTAAAGTCGATCGATCGATCTTAAATTCATTCTCGGAATAGAATTTCATTCAGAAAGTACAGTAATATATTATTGAATTACTGATATTGTTTGTGCCAATTTTTAATAATTTTAAACTAAATATAAATTATTCCAAATTATGTTTTTAGAGAAAAGGTTTTAACAAATTTTACGGATAAACTATCGCCGAAATTCGATTAAGTAGTTCACTTTACGAATCAATAATCCTCTCAATGCTTTTTACTATGCAAACACTAAAGCGCCAATGTTCTGCAACATGAGAAAATCCTATTTTAACACATTGATTGCTATAATGGTTATTAGTGACAAACGTCTAAATTTTTTGAAAATACTTATAAAAAATTAATGCTTATAATAAATAAATTTAAACCAGTATAAAAATAAAAAAGATCTATGAACGAATTTTTAATACATATAAGCTTGATTCCTCGTTTTAATTTTAATTATTTTATACAAATTTAAGATTTTTAATGACGTAAATATAAGACACACAAAAGTATATATTACATAATAATTTAGCATTATATGATAACGATAGTTTAATATACACGATAAGACGCACGAAAATCGCTAGGCAAACAACACGTTAAACATCCATTATATATCTTTTTTCTGAGAAAAAATAATCTGGATTGCGTAAATGCATCCCCGCATCTCAACGTAAATCCCGTAATTCCCAATAACGCTCTGTTCTCTGGCGGTAATCCTTCGTATAAAGGTCAGGAGAAGTCTGAATTTCCGAGTCACTCACGAATCGATCTTTAAGCACACGCGATTCGCCTTAGGATCGGACTCCCACCTATTGCCGACGAGATAGCGCACGTGCATAGCATACGTCGACACGACGAGGTAGACGTACGAGCGCCTGAACGAGGACGAGTAGGAGTACCTACCGACAATCAAACTGTGGTTTTCTTTTATCAGTCAAGTCGAATCGTGCGCGACACGCGGACACTTCTGTGCGCTCCAACTAGATCAAACGTACGCTAACTAGACTTCTTGACTAGTGCACGACACTTAACAACGCTGGAAATCCCAACACAGTATTCGAACTTGTCGCGAGTCGCTTCACGTGAATCTCGCGGAAGAACACGCATAGAATTTGAAGACCGCAGAACATTCGCTCACAAATTGGTATCGAAGCCATCCAGGCTACTGATACCATCGACGAATTTTCCAAGAACAAGCATTTCATCAGTGAACTTAGACACGCTGGCGCAAATTCAATGTGAGCTTTCTGCGTAAGTAATAAATCACGACATCTATTAGGTGTTGGAATTAATTCGTAGCGTTTTACAAGTGATGGGAAGTACTTTCATTAATGTATTTTTTAATGCTCATGTGAAATAAATAACATTCTTTCATTAAAAAACGCTACGAATTAATTCCAACACCTAATAGATAATTTTTGTTTTTTATCAATAATTAGTATAATCCTAAGAACTTTGTTATTAAATTGTTACCAAGTCAGATAGGTGTATGACTGATAACTGAGAAATATAAAAATTTTCGTACTTTAACTCTGAAAGATGCAATTAAACTTGATCCTCACGAAAGTGCCCTCGAATCTTTATGTATACCAAAGTTAAATGGCTCAATTATTTAATCATTTTAGCATACAACAAGAAATATCAAATTTTAATGAATTCCAAATAAATATAAAATAAATGAAATTGCTTAAATTAGGTACAATTTGTGACTCTTGAGTTTGTTGACTCTAAAGTTTGTTTTTAGAAACGTGAGTACATAAAAATTGAATTAATAACGTAGTTGAAATAATTCTTAAAAATCAAGATAAATTTAATTTGCAAATTGATTTAAAGTATTTTTCAAAATATACAACTGCAACTTTATCTGTCGTAATAATGCGCGTTGCTGAGTAATTAGTATTAATGGCTTTACGAGGGGACGTGTCAAGATGAACAAAGTGTTTACAAATTTCGGATAACAAAAAATTGTGGTGCAAAACATACATACCAAATGATTATCTCTCACGATACCGCAATTTTCAGCACGCAATTAATCTTGAACAAAGTCTAAAGTGAAAGAATATTATTTATCTGTTTACGCGAATATCTTTTTCGTTTTCTACGTCGTCGTGAGAATTATATCAGATTATAATATAATAAGTACTATATCAAAATATTCTTTTAATATGATAATTTTTAAAATTATTGATATAATTATATCTCTCCGATCAAAATGCAAAATCGAGAATACGAAGTTTGAATTACTCTACATAGAGTTACAGCATCAAACTCCATATGATACCTATATGAATTAAAGAAACAGATATAGACCAAAAAATTACGATTAAATATAAGAATATACATACGTTAAAACAAAAATATATTAGAAATAGCGATCTATCAAATTTATGATCATCGATTACTTATTTTATCGGTCATCAAATTAAAATTATAGTAAATATAATAATTAACGTTATAAGCAATCTATCAAAATTAACCGATACCCATTATTTTGTTCATTTATTTGTTCATTAAATTAAATTTGACATATATATAAAATACAGAAATATGAAACACAAATTTGGAATAACATTAATTATCCTATACGTTACCTATTATTTCTTTTATCTATTGTTTCGCATAATTTTTATAATTTATCTTTCCGTCAATCCTTGATTGACAATCATCTCAAAATTTGACAAATCGTCATCAGCTGTCCGCCGCGATTTACTCGACTCGATTTAAATCGGACTTCTCCTAGATTTTTATGAATCGAAAGTTACAAACCATAGGCAGATGGGACGCAAAAGACGCACGCGTCCCTTTTTCGCAAACGCAAGCGTAATTCAGTTCCCATGACACGTGCGATCAGATTAAATCGCGATGCGAAAGAGAGCTTCGGTTGCTTTTATCACCCCAAACGTATATGATCAAATTAATCGCGACGCTCCCGCTGATTCTGCATATTGCGTTACACGAAGTATCAGGAGCACTAAGCCCTTCGGTTGGAGCAACGACTTGATTATTCATGATTATCGCTATTAATTACCGGTGACGAACTATTAAGAAATATCAACGATGCTTTATAAAGAAAGACTACTTCAGCTACAATACTTCAGCTTGCCATTGAAAAATATCCTGATAAGCAACAATGCGATTAAATAGGTTGAGCGTTGCATTAAAGACTGTAACACAGAGCAGAATTTTTTTTCCTTATTGAAAAATATGTGAAAGAAATGAAATTAATAAAACAAAAGAAATGTGATATATGGTGTATATACGTATGGTGTATATATGTACTTTCTTAAAATTTTTATATATGAGGAAAAAATACTATTCTTGCTAAAATTATATACTTTTTAAAAATTATTATCCTATTTCACTCGGTGTATTTATATTTGCTGTTTGAATCGAAATTTAAACATTGTAAACAAAGAAATTTGGATGAATGATAATTGCTCTTGTTCCTTGTTACAGAATTCCTATCTCAAACATTATATTACTTGTTACAGGATTTTTAACTTAACTCATGTGCCTCAATATCTAACAGTTTCAACAGGTAGAAACACGCGCCAACGATAAACTTCTATTTTTACGGACGACTCACGTTGTGCGAAAACACATAAACCATCGCGATTAGGTATCAATTGCTTCTATTTGGTGAACATTTGGTATGAATTATGTGTTCAGTCGCAGCAAACAATTAGTTTTATACAGAGTGTCCCGTAAGACTTTTGTCAAACGTTTTTTTTTGTAGATAGAGCGAACTAAACTGACTCGAAAAGTCTTTTACCATTTTACAATTTTCGCAATAGTTATTGAGATATTAATTACTAAAAAATTGCCGAATATTGGTCTTCAATAATTTTTTTACTCAAATACTATCAACTTTACAGAAAAACAACAAGAGACAAAAGTTGTTTATTTTTTTCTCATAGAGATCTAAGAATTTTTTTAGAATTTTTTCAGAATTTTTTAATACCGTATTTTCTCATGTTGATAAAAATTCTTAGAGCTTTATGAAAAGAAAATAAATAATTTTTATTTCTTGGTGTTTTTATGTAAAGTTAGTATTTAAGTAAAAAATGATCGAAGACTAATATTCGGCAATTTTTAATAATTAATATCTCGTTAATTATTGCGAAAATTGCAAAATGGTAGAAGACTTTTCGATTCACAATTAGTTTAATCCGCTTTATGTACAATAATGTATACAAAAAGCGTTTGGCAAAAGTCTTGTGGAACCGCTACACCTTGTATAAAACTATCGATTTTAATTCACGCTCGCGAAGCGCTCGTTCACCTTGAGCAAATATGAGTTTCGAATTTCCGTTTTCAAAAAACGCAGCTCGGATTTAAACTCAAAAATTTTGCGGTATCTAGTTTCCGAAGAGTGTGTGTAAAAATGATGCGTTTGCGTAATCGCAATTCTCGGATTCCTGACCTCCTGTTTCTCTCGTCTTTACATTTTTATACTTACTTCTGTCGTGTTAATCGGTTTTTTTTCCTCTCCTCGATAAGCGCGATGGTCTCGAGTAGATATGCAATTACAATGGCTTCAATAGCCGCGAATCGTGATAAGCCCAGTGCGATAACGGTGTTAAAATCATTAATACACGAGTTCTCGATAACGCGCGCAAATCATTTGATTACCTGACAGTAATGACAAACAGTTTTCCTGATAGCCCGGATGATTTTTAACGAGCTATTGCGTATTTTCAATTTTTATAGGTTGAAAATTGCAGAAACAGGCAGATCCGACGTAAGATTATCGCAGGTTGATCCTAAAGTCTGCCGAACAGGCATTTATTGTAACACCGTAGGCCAACAGCGAATTCGGTATGTATACTAAATTTTACATTTACTAGATTTTACATAATACTAAATTTTACTACAATAAATGCACTAAGAAAAATAATCATTAAAACTCTTTGCGCAATTCCAAAATTTTGCCGTATTCAAAATTGTGTAAATTCCGTCATTTTAGATAATAATACTTTCGTAATTACTTACTGTAAATACATTGATAACTTGAGCTCCTTTAAATGTATCTCCTTTAGATTTTAAATTTGTTTTCTATATATTCGCGAATTAATTTCCATACTTTTCAGTTATGCATATTCGCAATTGTGCATCTTATCGAAGACAAATAAATCATTGAAAATATAAACACTTACAATAAAAAAATAATTTTATACATAATACATATGTTAATTTTGTAATTGCATCTTATATTATTACAATCTATTAATTTTTAACAATTTTATAATAAATTATTATAATCCATCAGGCAATTACATTTATATAATAATCCAATTCCCTTAATCATCAAGTTTTAAGCTTCATTACAATAATTAAATTAATAGCCTATTCGAAACTGTTACGTTCCTCTATTTAAGTGATTCTCGGCTAAACCAAGGATTTCTCGAAGAGCTCAAATAAAAATCGAAATGAATTTTTTGCTTAATTGGTTTTCAGATATGGTCGCTTTTCCGAACTTGGAGATTGAATCGACGTTGATGAACGGCACTGATCTCACGCCGATAGACAACAATCGAAACAATAATATTAGTTCAGTAAACAACGCTAACGTTGGAAGAGTCAGAGACCAAGTTTTCACCATATCTCGTGTAACAATGTCACCGAACGACAAGAATAACTATTCGCTGAAATTCGACAACATCGAAAACAATGACAAGAAGCAGAATGTAGATATCAATCCGGAACCTATCTTCGTGAAGAAAGTTGCCGGTAAGAAAAGTCACGAGATCATATATATATATATATATATATATATGTCTATCTATATCTTAGTTGCGCACCTAATATATTCAAGTGATCAAATTCTAATCCCGAAAGTCTTACACAACATTAACAAGAAAAGATAAAAATCACTAGAAAATTTACATAGGAAAAGCCGTTCGTTTTAGACATTTAGATACATATATTATTCTTCTTATATAATATAAATTCTTACGTCAATAATGATATCGATTGGTTTCGATCACCGCGAATGAAAATATGCAATCTTTACTACATGCAGGCAAACCTTGTGTCTGTGGCATTGAAGTTTGAATTTATTTGAATAGAATTAAAACATAGTACCAAGTCTAGTACGTCTCGCAAAGCGTACGCTCGAAATTTTTTATTTCCTAACGCTCGAGCATCGATTAGTGCCAGCCGATGCAAAATGAAGAATGAATGTAAAAATAAATATTTAAGATGCAAGTTAGCTTGAGTACAAGATAATTTCGTACAATTAAAGTTTAAAATTTATTTATCAACTTTTACATGATGCCATTCTCGACGTAATTGTTATTTTTATTGTTGCCTATTTATTGTTGCGTAAAAAATTGTATGAGTATAAAATAATAATTAGTCATTAAATTGGATTCCTTTTGAAAATAACAATAAGGCGCATATTCATGCAGACTAAATGCGATGTTGTGTCAGTGTGAAAATTACATGAATGACGCACAAATTTATCTGCCACAACGAATTTCGCGTAATTAACAAATAAGGAACAAATTTTCATAATGCGTTTTACCCAAAATTTGCAATTGTTAGAGATAGTTAAAGATAGTGTTCAGTATTGAAAGACTCATATTATAAGCTATTCTGAGATGTTCAGAAAGCATTTTTTATCGTTAATATATATGCTGAATGAACATAGACATTTCGAAATGCATTATGTTTTTTAATTAGTGACGAACAAAATGTATTTAATTAATATTTTTAGCAATTGTTTAGCAATTTTGTTTAATATTTTACATCCTATTAATTGATATATTGTTATTTTCTGTAAAGTGCATAATTTTCTTTTGTGCGTAGTTTCTTTTTTTCACATTTTCTAAAAATTACATATTTTGGACAAAACGTATTTTGAAAGTCTGCTCTTCAAATAGAATCTGTGGAATACTATATGAAAGGACTTTCTCAAAATATACTTTCTCAAAATATACTTACACTATGATATATGTAACAGAATTTATCCAGTATCATTTAGAGTCAAAATTTTGACGTATTCAACAGACGACGACATTGTTGTCGTTTCGCATCACGAAATTCACACTTGTTCACACTTGCAGGAAATGAACGAATTAATTGTTGTCGCAGTGACAAATCGCGGATATAGTGAGGAAAAAAAAACACACAGCACAAATAATATGATTACGACACGAAGTAATTCACCAATCATTTTTCCCTGACCGTTCTACGATCGTTAGAATTCAGGATACCAAACTCGCGCTAGTTTATAACGTCGACGCGGAAAGAAGACACGTTCAGTAATCGTCTCGCGCCGTTTATGTACCTTTATAGAACATAAGTTTATTTACATGAGAATGACGACGCGCGAAAATATTGACAGTTACCAGGAGATCTATCGTCAGTGAGCCTTTCCTGCTCTTTTAAATCACATGTAAAATCAACTAAGTGAGTCTTGCTCTTAATTGCGCGAGTTAACTACAATGTGGAAAAGTGATCATAAATGCTCATTTTTATTTTCATTTTTTTTCTTCGTTTTTAGAGAAAGATTATCAACCAGAAATTTCGTAATCAGTAATTATTGTGTTCGAACAAATCGACAAAACTCGATCGTATCTCTCAAAAACATGGTCCAATTATTTAGGATACTCATTGCGAACTCCGCTTGAATATTCCCGAACTGTCCGTTGAGTGGGATTTTACTTAACATGTACCGATGCGTCGACAGCCGGCTTGAAGACACCCAGTGGTCAGATGGACAAGAAAGGCGGAGGAAACGGAAAGGGATCTCTCTCCAGCGGTAGTTCCATAGTCACGATTTCGTCGGACGCCGTTTTGGATCCTGACGCGGAACGTAGTAAAGACTTAAGTGGTCACGGAGACGATAACAATATCAGAAATGAAAAATGGTATCACACGATTCTACAAGTGTCAGTACCCTTCTTAATCGCTGGTATGGGGACCATTGGTGCCGGTCGTGTCCTCACCATGGCGAAGGTAAGAGCTTTTCCCAAAGAATTTAATCTTTTTTTCTTTTCCTTTTCATCTTTTTGTTACATTATCTTTTAATAGAAATATTTATTCTCGTCCGAAGATAGACAAATAATTTACATCAAAGATAATGTCAAAATTAACATTCCTGAATATTTATGCCGATTCATTTCATCAGAATATAGGATGCAATGTCGATCTTAACTCAGTATTAACGCGATTGTATAAGTACCTTGACCGCTCACATTTTTAATACCGATCTCATGTAGATTTCAGACAGAGATTACGGCTAATCGAGATATGCTATCAAAGAATTTATCCTTATAATCTTTCGATTAGCATAGAATAAATAATCACGTTTTATCACAATTTCGTATATTATGTTTTAAAGCCTTTTCTCTAAAATGAACGGATGTGATAAATCGACTTGTCAATATGTTTATCATGATAAAGCAACGTATTATGCTTCATGTGTCACTTTTCTCTCAAGTAATATTCTTCTAGGTTTTACTTCTAGGTTTATTCTTCTATTTTTATGGAAGTCAAAGTAATGATAAATTTTTTTCTGTCCATATATTTTCTAATTTCAACGTATCTGATTTCAGAACATGCCAGCTTTTCTAGAAGTCCCCCAGCTACTGATCTTGACTACATCGCTACAAGGGCTGAAGGGTAATCTCGACATGTGCTTGGCATCGCGGTTATGCACACAAGCGAATTTAGGCAACATGAATAACCGTCGGGAGATCATCAAGATGATCGTCGGAAACATCGCCCTGGTGCAGATCCAGGCGATCGTCGCGGCTATCTGTCTATCGTTGTTCGGTATGGGAGTAGGCGCAATCAATGGAAACGGCTTCGAATGGAGTCACGCGGTATTGCTAACGGTCTCATGTATGTGCACTGCGACTAGTTCCTGTTTTATCTTGGGTAAGCCATTCTCTCAATATGCTTATTAAATATCGACTAATGTACACCTTTTACGCCGCACTAAGCTCCCATAAATCGATACTCCCTTGAAGTAACCATCCATTCACCATTTATCAGCAATTAACAATGTCTGCTATCGCAACTTACAGATCAGTCACGCATTAATTAATAGATTCTCTTTTTATGATAGCAGAACGTACATGATAAAGATATACTTGGAGATCATAAATGATGCTTTTTTCATGCACGCGTTGTGTTCTTGTAAATATATAGAAAGACTGTGTTTCTTTCTTGTAAAAACGTTTCCGTTCAGAGACGCTTTTAATAAAAAAAAAATATTACATACTCATGCATAAAGAATAAGAAATAGAGACTGTATCATTATACAATCCATATTTTTTGTAGATAAATACATTTGCGTATTATCGCGTTCTAATTTTTTATTTATGTTACTTATCAATATTTCACATTTTACTTTTTGTTCGTGATATTGTAATGAAGCTCGAAATGATTACTAATAATTTAAGTAATGTACGATTAATTTTCATTTCTAATATACAATAGAATATGAATCTCGTATTTTATTATCATGTATAACGTCAGATTATCTAATCATGCAATCGTTAAGTATATTACTAGAATGCTCCGTTAACTGTAAAATCAATTTATTGTAGATAACATAAATTCTGTCTTCTATTTTTTCTCCTTCTCTATGTATTTGTAAGATTATTATTATAAAATTTTTTAACTGGAGGTAGTTGTTTTTATTTTATTGTATCTTTTCATTTTTTTAATTTTTATTTCTTAAACTGTTAAATTTAGTATTTAATAATATCATGCATCCATCTTTAAATGCTTCTTTATTAATGCAACGAAACGAATTTTTAATTGTTACCTTAAAAAATTATCTTTCCTTCACAGATTTCGTTTTGATCGCCGTAATCATGCTATCCTATAGATTCAAAATGAATCCAGACAACCTGGCGACTCCTCTGGCCGCGTCTATCGGTGACGTCGTGTCTATCGGTATTCTCTCCACCGTCGCATCAGACTTTTACAACAGGTTGTACATAGAAATATGGGTGCTGTACATTATTATAGGAATGTATTTATTGCTTTTGCCGATTTGGATTATAATTGTGCTCAAGAACAAATACACAAGAACAGTATTAAAATCTGGCTGGGTTCCCATCCTGTCTGCTCTTCTGATCAGTGGGTTAGTATAAGTCAAATTGGCTTTTTTATTTAGGCTAATTTTCCGAGGAATTTTATTCCAGGTTGTTCGTCCACGAATAAATCTCTTCCTCTCACGATTATATTATTAATTAATAACTTATATTATTAATTAATTCGTTCATTTATTATTAATTTTTATTTTCACCTTTTAACTCATATAATCATGCTATCAATTAATCTTTATTAATATTTAGTTAGTCGCCGCGATGACTTTCCAAGTCATTTTGTTTAACAAATGTATTTTTGCGCGACTAACTAAATATTATAGTTATAATTAGATTATTATTTTGCTTAATGTATATAATTGTATTTTAAATTATTTATTTCTGTTAATATCTTGTCTTTAGCGGAGGTGGCTTAGTTCTTGAAAGAACGATCAACTCTTTTAAAGGATCTGAAGTCTTTCAACCAGTCATTAACGGGATTGGCGGCAACTTAGTATCGGTGCAAGCGTCTCGAATGTCAACCATGTTGCACCAGTCTTCTATCATAGGAATTCTACCACCGCACGACAAAATGATATGTGTGACCCCGTGGCACGCGCTCCTCGTAGGATGTATGTATACCTCCACGAAAAAGAAAATAATAATTAACACCTTCCTAATTGAGATTACTTTAATATTGAAATTTCTAACGTCAGAATTTTTTTAAATTCGATATTTAAAGATTTTTCTTCTTTACAAATAGCGATATACGCCAAAACCGCAAGATTGCTCCTCGCTATGGCCATCCCCGGTCACCTGATTTTTGTTTTCATCGCTAATGCTTTAAACCCGGGCAATTGCTACATACATGCGTATTTCGTACTCTTTTATATAACTGTTTCCTTAATACAAGTAAGTAGCGCAATTTAATAACAACTTTGTTATTTTATTTCGATTTTCGAGAATTACGAAGTCATAACGGAAATTTTTTCAGGTAATGCTTCTGTTGTACACCGCACACATAATCATTCACGCGATGTGGAGGTGCAAAATCGACCCAGACAACTCGGCGATCCCCTATTTGACAGCACTAGGTGATTTGAGTGGATCGCTACTCTTAGCGTTAGCTTTCTTCTTTGTATATTTGATAAAAAGGCCATATTGTTTTGATTAAGTAAATCTGAGAAAGAAGTAAAGCCTTCGCACAAGTACAAACGCACACATATATATACATACATACACACTCACGGCGTAAAGAACTTTTAACAATCCCTGATTTTTCTCATTATGAGACAAAAGGATTGGGTGCTCTGCGCTGTCAAAACAATTCAAATGCCTTGCGCTTCATGGTATTATATAACCCGAGATGACTCGCAAAACTGAGAAATGATGATGAAATAATGTCAAGAAGCAAGGTGCAATGAGGGAAATACTCAGATTACAAAAATATATTTGTTAACAATAATTCCGAAAGACAGTTGTTAGTAATGTTTCTGTACACGTGTAACGGCTGTGAACTATAAGTGTAATGATCATGAAACAGCGCGATAATTAGCAATTTTAGAATGTATTTCACGTTTTTTTTTTTTTTTTTAAAAACGTCACAAACCTCTTGCAAATACATAGATGCCTAGTCAATTTAATAGTAAATAATACGTATGTTTGAAAACTGTTTGAAAGATATTTCAACTCATTAAAAACCTACCAGTCTTTTAACTACCACGGAAATGTCTTTCAGTGCTTTAGAAGATTTGTAAATAAATAGATTGCATCGTCCTGACGAAGAATTCCCATCGCAACACGAAATACGAGTAAGCTAACATGTATTGCGACATGTTCTAACTTGAAGCGATAACAATGTATTCTTGAAACAATAACATGTTTTAATTGTAAGCGATATCGATCATATAATTTATAAAATAGTAGCCGTGAAGAGTTATGAGCTAAGCGAGCGAATCAAGTGCCAAGAATTTCTATTTTTTATCTTGGAAATCGCAAAATGTCCAAAACATTCATTTTATTACAACGAATGGTATACCATTTAATTGCACAATTGTGCAATTGCGTCGCAATTGCAGCTCAATTAAAGCTCAATTCGACGACATATTATTAATTAAAGGAAGCGTTGATTATTGTTCTCCGTCATAACTTTATATGCATGTAACTTATTTAATTACGCAACGCGGTCTCTGGGACACGCCTTACGTAATACTCAGACAATGCCAAGTAATTAGTACGCATCGATTATTTGTCTTTGAAGCTATAAGGAATTCACATTTCGAACCAGCAGTACGTTGACTACTTGAAAATATTCTAAATATTAATACAATTTTAATACATACTAGTACAATTTTAATCAAAATATTTTAATTAAAATATTTCCAAATTCATCAAGAATTTAATAATCTTCTATTTATAGAGATTTAACTTATTTCTTCTCACCATTTTATTTATAGAGCAGCATTTAAAAATTTTTTTTCTTCGTGCATACTGCATCTTTTACATTTTTTTTTCTTCATATGTATTTGGAACTTAGTGCCGAGACACTTCCATATCTCCAGATTCATGTACAAAAAAAATTTTTTTAGTGTTGCAAATAGGATGTTTGAAAAAATGAATCACATAGTTTTAACAAATCTTTTGCACGCAAAATACAGTGCAATAAAAGTTCAAAGTGCTAAAATCTGTACAAAAACTGATATCATAAAGAATTATACGAAATGGAGTTTATAAACTTTTTTAAAAAAAAAATTATTTTGAAATGTCAATGTATTAATGTTTAAAATATTTAAATATATTTTTAATGTATACAGTTTACTCGTGTTTTATGTAATGTTAGTCATTGCAACAAACAATAATAAACATTAACACTTGTTAATTAACACTAAGCTTGCATTAGCCTAATAGAAATTTCAGTCAAAATTTTAATCTAAAAGAATTCTAATAAAGTTCAAGTTAATTGTAAACAAGAAAGTGATAATAAATTGAATTTATTAAACTTAATATGCATTTACACTTTTTGTGCTAAATTAAAACATAAATAGGCTAGTCTTGAAATAATTTTAAGTCATTAATTATATCACATTTAACGAAATAAATAAAATTATATGATTGACGCGATCATTGTTATTCGAATCTCATCAAAAATATATCAGGTCAAAAATGTATAATATAAATGACGTGAGATCTGGAAAGGACAATAAATTCCCTTCATAATTAATATATTACTGACATTTTTAGTTGTACAATCTACATCTTCACAAAGGACCCCGCACTAATCCTATATAAAATTGGGTCCCGATGAAATCAAATGGTTTCTCATATGTTATAGCTTATGATCTGCTAAATAAAATATATAAGTTTTAGCGCAATATTTATATTTCTAATTTTGAATAAACGCAAATAGGATATAAACGCGGACTTTATTCGTATATTAATGGAATTATTATTATTATTATTATAGATAATTTATATTAATATTTAGTCAATTTTATTAATATGATGGCTTCTTCATGACGCGTTCGTGTTTCGCACATATCATACGAAAGCGTAAAATCTTACACTTATTGCCGGCAATGATTAATCGATAAAAATGAGTATTTTATATATATATATATATAAACTGAATATTCGCTTGCAAATTGCGAGTTCTCATATTTTTTGAATTATTGCTTATTTACAGTACAAAAATAATCAACAAACAACAGGGTTAATGAGAGCCAGTATGGATAATCAAACGCAAGATTTTTTAATCTACAAATCTTGCTCTTAATTATCCGCAGACTCTTATTAGCCCTGTTATTTGTTCGTGTTTTTGAATTTTAAAGATTGAAAGTCTGTTTTAATTATTACTATTTATTGCTTATTTATTTAATACAATCGCGATTTGGTTATCCCAATGAATTTATTAATACGCAATAAAACATAGTTAGGCATTAGTTGCAGAGAAAGCAATTTTGCAACTGTTGTAAAATTCTTCAATATGATTGATTTATACATTTAAATCCATAAGAAACCAAAAGCAGGAACCAATTGTATTGAAGAATTTTACATTTGCAAAACTGCTTTCTCTGCTGAACGCAGCCATTAACATATTATATTATATGTATTCACGATGTTATTCCACATTCATGAAGTAATGTATGTAAGAATACACAAGTGGAGATAGATGAATAGGCATAAATAAATGAAAACAGGGGTAAGTAGGATAGTATAGGCAAGTATGGATGGGTAGGAACTGTATAGGCAAAAACATAAGTATGGATAGGTAGGGATAAACTATAATAATTTTAAATTAAAAAATTAAATTGTTACAAATTAAATGACACATAAATAAATTTCGATCGGGTATTTAAATTTTATTTTAAAAATAAAAAATAATAATTTATTTAAAAAATAAAAGAATAATTAAACTAAAAGATATCACATAATAAATCTAACTGGTAAACAATGTAATATATAAGTGGGGATACATAAATATCAAATGTACTTGATAATTAGAAAGGAGGGATTTAAAATTGAATAAAATTTTTAATTACTTTTAAATTTTTTTTAATTATGACAGCATCCCGTTTTAATTATTAAATATAAAAATGAACCAAATGAATTTTAAATTTTATTGAATTTTTAGTTTCATTGAAATTAAATTTTTCTGTTTAAAATCTATACATGTACAAATTATGTAACGCGTTTTTAATATATTGTAGTTAATTTTATTATAAATAAATGTATGTATAATGATATTAGATATGTAATATTAAATTTATGTAAACTATGTCCAGACAAATGTCATCATATTTATTTTTATAATTTGCACAGTGATTACTAATAAATTATACATTTATTAATACGTATATATTCATATTGAATATCTATTCAATACAAATAATTTATCTTGTAGTAAATTAAATTGTTGCGTTATTATGTATTTAATGTAAATAACATTGAAATCGACGAAACATGTGATAATAAAAATTGTTTATCGATTTAACAAGTTTGATGAATATTTAATTTTGAAATAGTTTTGAATTATTAATTTTGAATAACTTCTTTTGGATTTTATTTTGAATATCAAAAAGTTATTAATAATTTTGAATGATTTCTAATTAAAAAATTTATGTTTAGAATAATCAAAAATTTATGTTTAGAATAATCATTTAGATAATATTCTCTGCAAAGTAACATTCTAAGTAACATTAATCCAATTATTTGAATAACAAATTCACCACTTAATATACATCGCGATTATCATATATAAAAAAATAATTTTTCAAAATAATAACTTTTAAATAAGAATTTTAAATAATAATAATAATAATAATAATAAATTTAAATTATTTATTTATTTTATTTTATTGATTAATTAATTAATTAAATTTAATTCATTTAATTAAATCAATTTAATTTAATAATAAATAATTAATTTAAATAATAATTTTTCCAAATTTTATAAGGAAAGAATTTTCAGAAATAATTTTACAAAGGCGATTTTCCTTGATTTATTTAATTGTTGTTTGATTCAGTGATATCTATCTCTTTTTTGTTATAAGAAGCATTGTTACTCTATAGTTTGATGTTCTTGCAGGAAGCAGCAAAACTGTGTCGCCCTCAGTCAAGGATTTTTATAAAAATAAAGAAATTCCGCATTTTATATACTAAAAAAATTGAAATTGAAAAAATAGCAGCTAGAACTTAGTTTAAAATAATTGTAATGTATAGATCTCTTCTCTGCTAGAATTAATGAGAAATGTCTAGAATTATTAATAACGGTACTTTCTAAATAATTTCAGTATTTTCAAAAATTATCTTGTTAGCTTTACTATAGTATTATTTAATATTATCTTCTGTTTGTTAAATTAATCTAAATCAATATTTATAATAAAATAATAATTGCCTTATATGTAGTCTCTCGCATTATAATTTTTCTCATTAATTTTGCGATAACGTATTACTTTATTATAATAAATTTTATAATCAATATATCATATCTTTTGATTCCTTCCATTTTGAAAAGAAAATAATAATCTTCTTTTGGTTTCTCTATAGCTGATGTACATTTTTCAGGCAATGTATTTATTTAACAAAATTAAATTAAATATATAATTAAATAACTTTCAAAAATATCAAATAAAAGAAAATAGGTACAAATGAAAGTTAGCATTAGCGCTGTAATTCTGTTATTATTTATATATTATAAGATTTAACAAAGCAAAAGAATTAATATTCTATAAAATTTAATTAAAAATGTTTTATTGTGCGGAGCGTACAATACCTTTGTCACATTAGCGACAATCTAAGCCATAGTTATTAATCTACCATTCGATTATATGATTCGTTACACCTTGAAAAATCGATATAAGAAATATATAATCGCGTGTGTTTATCACTGTGTAATATGTATAAAAATTGTTTTCCTCTCGTCGTTGTGACTATAAAACGGGCTTTCAAAAACAAAAATATTACAAATCGACTAGATACTAATAATGTTGCTTCCTCTTAAAGTAAACGCGTTTTTCGCTCGATCAAAATATATATATATA